CCCGTCTGCTGGTTATCTCATCCCATTTGGTGGGGCCCGTTTGGGTTGGTGGGGCCCGTTTGGGTGGGGCACGTTTGGTGGGGCCCGTTTGGGTCGGGCCCGTTTGGGTGGGGGCCGTTTGGCGGGGCCCGTTTGCTGGTTATCTAATCCCATTTGGTGGTGCTCGTTTGGGTTCGTGGGGCCTGTTTGGGTGGGGCCCGTTTGCAGTGTGGGCGGCCCATTTGGTGGGGCCCATTTGGGTGGTTCCCATTTGCGGTGTGGGAGGCCCGTTTGGTGGGGCCCGTTTAGTGGGGCCCGTTTAGTGGGGCCCATTTGGTGGGGCCCGTTTGGGTGGGGCCCGTTTTGGTGGGGCCAGTTTGGTGGGGCCCGTTTGGTGGGCCCCGTTTGGGTGGTGGTTATCTCATCCCATTTGGTGGGGCCCATTTGGTTTGGTGGGGCCCGTTTGGGTGGGGCCCGTTTGGTGGGGCCCGTTTGCGGTGTGGGCTTCCCGTTTGGTGGTGTGGGCGGCCCGTTTGGTGGGGCTCGTCTGCTTCGATCACTTTCATGATGTACACGGTGACATTATGCAATCACTTTGACACACAACGAAACAATGCATCGTCCACACCGTCACATCATTCATCCAGTTTCACTAACTTTGACACACAACGTTAAGGCAAACACACAAAAAATAAATGAAAATCCATTGGCAATATGAAACAACACGATCATCCAACGGGAGAGTAAAATCAGTTTAACTGCTGAATGACACAAAAAACATGTCACATAAGAGTCAGATCCCCGGATGCACAAAAGTCTCGTCGGAACAAACTCCTCTCATGTATCATAAATGCCACCCACCAAACAAAGTGAAATAGTTGTCACTGTTGTACACTCACAAAAGCGGAGATATAAAAACCCTACCGCAAATAACTGAAGAACTAAAGTACATGTGACGAACTAAGACAACAACTGCTCCTGCCATGACTCCTATCCACCTACATTAAGAACTAGATAGTCTCCGTATGTGCATAAGTCATCCTCTGGGATTAAAAAAAAAAAAAAAAAAACAGCTGTCAGTAGTGTACACATGTCTCGCAAAACCGAAGACATAAAAACCCTATCACAAGTGACTGCAAAGCTAAAGTACATGTGAGCAACTAAGATGGGAAACTGTTGTCACTAGTATACACTACTATACCGATGTGTCACAAAAGCGAAGATATACACAACCCCACCACAAAGAACTACAAAACTAAAGTACAGGTGAATCGCGTCTAAGAAAACGAATACGAAGCTCCCTCCGAAAAAATAGGAAATATCCAAATCAAAACCACAGTACATATATCTACCGCCCCCCGCCTCTGCCGCCTCTGCCGCCTCTGCCGCCTCTGCTGCCTCTGCTGCCTCCGCCGCCTCTGCCGCCTCGTCCACGTGTCGGCGGTGCCATGCGTGCCTGTGCCGCGACCAATCTCTCTCTCTCTCTCTCTCCCTGCGCCTAGCAACCTCGATGGGTTCCTCCTCAGTATCAGCATCCGAAGTGCGCGCCGCCGCCATCCTCCTGCGCTCCCTGTCAAGCTCCTCGTGCGACTCCCTCAATCTCGCCTCCTCCCTAGCAATACGAGCCTCCAACTTTGATGTCGCTCTCCTGAGGCGCCGACACTCCGTCCTCTCCAGAAGTGTAAAACGCAGGCGCAGCCCTGCGTGAACCTAAAAGCATGCCCCTGCGAGTGCCGTGTCCAGTCTGATCGAGAATGCGATAAGCAGTCGTCAAACTCGGTGTCGTCCTGTGCACCTCCGAGTCCTCCCTCAACCGCGCCTGGTGCGCCACGAAATCACTCCTCACTCTCTCGTCAACTCGTCGCACTATGCTCCATGAACGGTGAAATGACTACTGTGTGTCGAGGCGAGGTGACGACGATGTCGGCACGTGGCCTCTCCCGACAGCTCTACCCGTAACTGGTGTCGGAGTGCTGTGGGGCACGGTCGGTGGAGGAGGTGTGCGTGAAGTGGTGCGAGCCCTGTGTGCACCCCGAGCCGCTGCCATGGCGGACTCCGAACGATGCTGCTCGCGCTCCAAGCTCGCCGGAGAGCCAGAATACCGAGGGGTGACAGGTGTGTACAACGGAGGCGATCGAACCCCGACTCCAAGAGATCCTGCAGCTCCCCTGCTAATCGGATCCTCCCCTCCTGCACGGTGCAACGCATCAGGTTCGAGTGGCCCAGGTGTAATCTCCCCCTCCTCCATATCTTCTCTGGTGTGGTCCTGAAGGTCAAGTGGTATACCGCCCTCCTCCTCCTCATCAGCACCGCCTCCTCCCTCGACATGCTCTGACGGAACGTCGTGCGCCACCGATGAAGGATGCCACAACACTAACACCAAAGACGTACTGCCTCCGACCTCGTCCGGATCATCAGTCTGCAGGTCCATGTCGTCACCCCCAATGGGGCCGTGTGACAATCGACCTGGACCGGCACTAGGCGACAGTGAAAGTCGCCCCGCAGTATCCGCCCCATCATCGGCCTCCACACCGGGTCCACGCCCTCCGTCCCCATGCTCGTCAGAATCACCCTCCATACGAACTGCCTCCTCAGTCTGTACATCATCGGGCTGCAACGTGTTTGCCGCACGAAATCCAAGTACGACATCGGACACAACAGGATCTCCATGCTCTAACACGGTCGGATCTCCATGCTCTAACACGGTCGGATCACCATGCTCTAACACGGTCTTCTTCTTCTTCTTCTTCTTTTCTTCTTCTTCTTCTTCTTCTTCTTCTTCTTCTTCTTCTCTTCTTCTTCTTCTTCTAATTCTTCTTCTTCTTCTACTTCTCCTTCTTCTTCTTCCTCTTCTTCTTCTTCGTCTTCTTCTTCTCCTTCTTCTTCTTCTCCTTCTTCTACTTCTTCTTCTTCTTCTTCTTTTTCTTCTTCTTCTTCTTCTTCTTCTTCTTCTTCTTCTTATTCTTCTTCTTGTGGCTGTTGTTGTTGTTGTTGTTGTTGCTATTTTTGTTGTGCACGTCATCAACATGGGCACGGCTATGGCGCCCAGGTTAGTAACGCTGAAGCAGCTATGGACGACGCCCGTCTCTTCTTCTTCTTCTTCTTCTTCTTCTTCTTCTTCTACTACTTCTTCTTCTTCTTCTTCTTCTTGTGGTTCTTCTTAATCTTCTTCTTCTTCTTCTTCTTCTTCTTCTTCTTCTTCTTCTTCTTGTGGTTCTTCTTAATCTTCTTCTTCTTCTTCTTCTTCTTCTTCTTCTTCTTCTTGTGGTTGTTGTTGTTGTTGTTGTTGTTGTTGTTGTTGTTGTTGTTCTTCTTGTGGTCGTGTTGTTGTTGTTGTTGTTGTTGTTGTGCAGATCGCCAGCGTGGAGCACGGCTATGGCGCCCAGGTAAGTACCTCTGACGCAGGTATGGCCTCCACCCCTGTTCTTCTTCTTCTTCTTCTTCTTTTTCTACTTCT